TCAAAGATCACCCACCAATGTCTCCACAATTCTCAGCTATCTCCTTTAGAAGTCTACAGTGTAGTCCATCTGGTCCGGATGAATTATCCACTTTCAGACGTATGCACATTCAGACCTTTCAGCTTCCCCACTTCTCCTTACTGATAGCCACTACACTCACTTCAAGAGGCAGGGGGCAGAAGTTCTGCTATGCTGCTGGTCTCTTCCACTGTGAAAACTGATGCAAAGTACCAATTCAGTTCCTCCACCATATCTTTGATCCCCCATTAATATTTCCCCAGCCTCATTTTCCAGTGGTCTAATGTTCCCTCTCTCTTACCTTTTACATGTCTAAAAAATCTTCTTTTATATTATTAGCCAGCTTACTGTCAAATTTCACCTTCTCTCCCCTTATTGCTTTTTTTTAAAATTATCCTCTGCTGGTTTTTAAAGGATTGCCAATCCTCTAGCTTCCCACTATTCTTCACCACATTGTGTGCTTTCTCTTTTGCTTTTATGCTGTCTCTGCTTCCTTGTCAAGCCATGGTTGCCTTATCCTCTTCTTAGTGTGTTCTATTTTCCCTGGGGATGAATTTCTGCTATGTTTTCTGAATTACCCCCAGTAATTCCTGTCATCGCTGCTCCACCATCTACCCTGCTAGGCTCTCCTTCCAATCAACTCTGGTAGCTCCTTCCGCATGTCTTTGTAGTTAACTTCAATCGTAATACCATTACTTCTGACTCAAGCTTCTCCCTCCCAAACAGCAGGGTGAATTCTATCATATTATGGTCACTGCCCCTAGACGTTCCTTCACTGTAAGCTCCTTAATCAAGTCTTCCTCATTACACATCACCAAATTGAGAACTGCCTGTTCCATCGTGAGCTCGACCACAAGTTGCTCTAAAAAAAAACTCAGACATTCCACAAATTCCTTTTCTTGAAACCTACTACCAACCTGATTTACCTAGTCCACCTGCATATTGAAGTTCCCCCATGATTATTGTAATAGTGCCTTTCTTACAGGCCTTTTCTATCTCCTGATTTATTTTCTTCTCCACATCCTGATTACTGCTGGGAGGCCTGTACACAACTCCCATCAGGGTCTTTTCTCCTTTGTGGTTCCTCAACTGTACTCAGACAGATTCTACACCTTCCAACGCAATATCACTTCTTGGTATTGATTTAATTTCATTTCTTACTAACTAGGCAATCCCACCCCCTCTGCCCATTTGCCTGCCTTTTTGATAGGACATATATTGGATATTTAGTTGCCAGTCCAGATCCCCTTGCAGCAATGTCTCTGTGATACCCACAATATCAAACCTGCCCATTTCAATCTACACTACAAGCTCAATGACCTTATTTCATACACTGCATGCATTTAAGTGCAACAGCCCTCAGTCCTGTGTTAACTGCCCCCATTCTCATAGCTGTCCCCTTATCTGCTGTGCCTGAAGTTAGATTTCTGACTTTTTCCATACTTTCTGTCCTATTACATGTTCTAGAAATTTCAATAATCTCTGCGGAGACCTCCTCCCCTCTCTTAACCTTTTCCATAATTTTCCATGCAACTGAATCCCCACTATTTAGTTTAAAGCCCCATTCACAGCCCTACTTATGGCAAGACTCTGGTTCCAGTGTGATTCAGGTGGAGCACATCCCATCAGAAAAATCCTTCCCCAATACTAGTGCCAATGTCCCATGATTTCGAACCCGTTTCTCCCACACTAATCTAAGCCACGTCTTTACCTCTTTAATATTGTTGACCCTGTGCCAATTTGCTCGTGGGTCAGGTAGCATTTTGGAGATCCTGCCTCAAACTTTTCGGGAGTTTATAATCCAGGAGCAGGAGATGGGGGCTCTCTGAAGCCTGTCAAACAAACTACCATATTCTGTCCCAAGGCATAATGTAGTGCAGTTTTCAAAGGCGACACTTAGGACTGTGCTTGTTTGATGATCTCCATTCTCCAGTCATTTGTTTTCCTCATTTCAAATCTACACATCATGATTTCAAAACAAACTTGCAAAGTATTCGTAACTGAGTGGAGTTTGTGATATTAAAGAAATGTGGGACAAGTGCAACATCAGTATCTTCTCTACTTTGAGAAACTATGATAAATGACAACACCCATATTACAGAGTATCAGGGTGAAAAAGTCTCATTTGTATTTTCTGTACCTTTCCCTAGCCCCATAACTCTCAGATACAGTGTTAGCTCTCGTCTCATTCTGGCCTTTCAAGCACTTTTGATTTGAACTGCTCCACCAGTTATGTTCATGCCATCAGCTGCCTAGGCCCTAAACTGTAGAATTTCCTCCCTCGCTCTCTTTGCCTCTCGTTCCTTCTCAGAAGTGTTCCTTAAAGTGTACCTCTTTGGCCAAGCTTCTGGCCATTTGCCCAAGAGCACTTTAAGTGGACCAGCATTAAAACTGCTTTCTGACTTTCTAGATGTTTTATTGGGTTAATATACTTGACAAATATAAGTTACTAAGTACGAGAACTAGTGGTTAAAGCTTAGTTTTGAAAAGCCTAAATATTGAACAATTTCACAGCTATGAGGTAAGAAGAACAATAATAAAATTAAATAATATAAGCAAAAGAATATGTTGACATGAATGAAATCGGAAGAGGCAGAAAATTTTGACAAACTTAGACAGGATGGAAACACAAACAGAAATTGCTGAAGAAACTCAGCATCCATGCAGAAAAAGCAGAGTTAATGTTTTGGGTCCAGTGACCCTTCATCACAACTGATTATAGCTAGGAGAAGTTTTGGTAGAAATGCTCAAGATGGGGTAGGGGGAGGGAAGGGGTAAACGATAAGTGGAGTTGGAGCCCAGAAGGACAGAACAAAAGTTGAGCAGAAAAAGAAGTGGTAAAGGTGAGCCAGGGGAAATCAATAGCTGCTACTGGGGAGCCTTAGAATCTAACAACTGGTTGGTTGTGAAAGCAGCCCATGTGGTGAAAAGGTCTAGTGTGTGTGGGGGTTTAGGTAAGGGCATGGGAGAAGGTGCTGAGGCCCTAAAATTATTGAACTAGATGCTGGATCCTGAAGGTTGCAGGTTCCCCAAATGGAAAATGAGATCATTTTGTTTAGAGAAGACAGAGGTGTTAGCTGAACCTCATTAGTTTTGGCATCAACATTTTAATCTTGGATAGACTTAGGCTTTGTAGAGAAGTAGTAGCTTTCTGGAAACCTTTCCAGAAAACTTTTTGGCACAAGAAAGGAAAACAAACTTTGCGGGAGCAGCTTTATTAATGGAGGTGGAGTGAGGTTGGTGGATGGTAACACTAAGAATGTCAAGAGGAAGAGATCTAATGACACACAACCATCAAAGAATTGAAAACTTGGCTTGTAAGAAACATAACACACAGTGTTTTTGTTGAATTGGTCAAGTTTAAGACCTGGATTTCTCCATGCTGAGTATTAAGCATCATCTTATTCGATGTGCAAACCTATCTGCATGCAAGCTTACGTGGTGAATAAGCGTTGCCTTGCATTCACTCAATCACTGATAATGATTAAAAAGCTAGAAGAAGACGTGTACTTTCCTGAAGGACCCTGGGTGAAGTCTGTGACACAACAAATGAATCATTTTTCATTACCTCAACACCGGTATACTCAAATGGACTCCCATAAGCAGCTATATAAATACATCAGTTTCTCCTGCAGACCTAATGCTTAGCATTGAGAGAAGTTTATTCTTTGATCTTGAGATTGAGTGCATTACATACAGGAATGAAACTAATCATGTGCAAATTATTAAGGTCAAATTCTTACAACAGTATCACATTCACTATTATTCCAGGAGCTTTACGATGGGCAGCAGTCAGAATACTACCTTACAGTCATTAAGGTATCACTGTAGATAGCATGAAGTCTCTCTTTCGTCTCAATGAACCCAGATCAATGCTTCAAGCAGGGATTTCCAAATTTTAGTACTTTCTTTGAGACCAGTTCAGGAAAATGTTTTATTTGGAAAAAAAAAATCAGAGGAAAACAAAATCCTACAGTTAGGATGGCAGGTGGTGAGCTGAGAGGATTGACCTGGAAAGCTTCTGATGGAAGCCATCTGATGGGGACTGAGGCTCAGATCATCAAAGCCAGGCAATCCATGACAGTCAATGACAGGTCACGTGGAACTAGGAAGACTGAATCAAACTGAACTGCTGCGGCAATACCATTTGCTCGCTGGTGCACAAAATCATGATACAGCAAATGCATTATTAGATGCAAAAGTTTCAATGTGGCACGAAAACAGATATATATGACAAAGCAGCACACAAAGTGCCCTTTTCTGCAAACTATATCCTTATGAAAATAATGATAAATACAGATGGTACCTAACTCAATACATTTCTGGGTTACAATGTCTTGCAGCTCAAGTGTTGAATATGACTTCCAATAGGGACCGAATTTCTGATAGTGGCAAAGAGAATTCAGCAGTTAATGTAAAACAGTTATGTGATGTTCTACCTGTGCTTTACTGGACAGGCTACGCAGACTGAGGCGAGCTGAGGATAGTATCTGCAGAGCTTCCTGAGGGTTGGTTTTGCCTTTACTGCATTTGATTGACACTGCAAAAATAAAAACAAAAACACACATAAAAGACACTAAGACAACTTCAATTACAGTATTAGACAATGGACATTTATAATGAGATACTGGAGAAATGGGCAAGGCAAGATTTCTAACAAAAAAAAGCTTTTTTTAAAAAAATCATTGAGACTTATGATAAATGAAACAAAACCTCATCAATTGATATTTAGATATTTTCACAAGGAGCAAAACCTTCAAGTGCTGGAAATTTGAATTAAATAGAGATATCAAAACACTCATCATGTCAGGCAGCATCTGCAGAGACAGGAAAACGATCAGTATATCTTGGTCACAACAGAGGATATGACAGATGAACTGCATACCACACATCATCCTGGCTTGGAATTACATCACTGCCTAGTTCCTTTGTTAGATAAAATTTCTGGAACTCCATCTCTAACAGCACTATGTGCATAATGACATTAACAAAAGTGACGTTGAACAACAGTTGTTCAAGAGGCAGGGCAATCAAGGATGGGCAACAAATGACAGCCTAGCAAGTGACATTCAACCTATAAAAATTTAAGTTTAAAAGCTTACAATAAGAATCAGAGCAAGAGAAAAGGGGTTGGAATAATTCACCTCATCCTCAAGAAAGTGAATTATCTGAGAAAGTGAATATGGGGAGAAAAGGAGATGATTAAATGACAGGAGTGAAAATATACAAAGTAAAAAGGAGATGACGAGAGAAATCAGAAAACTCACACCTCTCTTGCCTTCACAAGCATGAATTCACAACATGAATCCTACATTACAATAAGTATAGTTAAAGTGGGATTTGTGATTAAGTTTTGAGGGTTGCAAAATGCTTGGCAATGAGATGAAGTGCTGTAAGTGCTGTTTCTTGAGCTTGTGTTAAGCTTCATTTGAAGCGTAGGAGGCTGAGGGTAAAGTGGGAGCATTAAAGGAGCAAGTGTCTGAGAGTTGAGGGTTGAGCTTGTGTGTAATCATAGAGATGTTTTCAGCAAAGCAAACTGCTTTTAAACTGCCGAAGATTGAGGAGATCATACTGTGGTCAGTGAATAGCAGAGCCTGCAATTTAGCATTATTTTGTTTTAATATTGCTGAGTTATTAGAACGGAAATCTCGTTGAGTACCATGAAGATTCATTATGATGTTTAGGGCAGTGTATTACAGCATGGTGCAGTGACTGAGCCCCCAACCCCACTGCCGCTCCACCCCACCAACCCCCATAATCCATACAATTGAATACAATTAACACCCAAATGATATATAATTAACATAGAACTCTTGTGGTGTAGTGGTAGTGTCCCTACCTTTGAGCCAGGAGGGCCAGATTCAAGTTGCACCTGCTCCAGAGTGTGTCATAGCATTTGTGAACAGGTTGATTAGACAATGTCCCTATACAATTAAAATGGGAAGGTGAGCAGGTAGGAGGGGTTAATGGTGATGCAAACTAGGATATCATGGAGAGAACAGCTCCTCCCAAAAACTTACAGGCAAAGGGGTGAGGACAGAAAATTATGTTTTTCAATCTGAGCTCGTTTGAAACCTACAATAAGCCTGATGAAAATCACTGCCAATATTAGGCACATACTTCTCATTTCAATAGCTGGCAATATAATTGTACTCTTAAAGCTGAGATACCTATATAATTAGTTATTAAAAAACTGAAAATTAAATCCAGATGACTTTTGCAAGCAACATCTGTGGTCAACTCTCTGATGGCGACAGTATATGTTCAAAATAAAAAAACAACTTCTAAGATTTCATTTCGTTTGAAGTTTATTCCAAAAATAAGACAAGTTCTTTGAGATTCAAAAGAAAATATGCCGATACTGGAAATCTGAAATAAAAATAGAAAATGGCAGAAATACTCGCAGAAGGTCAGGCTGAATGTGTGGAGAAAGAAACAGGATTAACTATTCCTTTCAATAGAACTGGTCCGATTTTATTCTGATGTCAATTAATTTAACTTGTAATGTCACAGAATCTTGTAGAGACCTAAGCAACGTAGGTTACTGTGAGATTTGTGGCAGAACTGGACAAGGGTGAGGCTTTTATCAACATTGGGAGCAACTTGCTGCATCTTTTATGCTTTTGCTGAGCAGTGAATTGCCAGTTTAGCTGGAATACTGCTTGTGAAATGCCTTGTTAATAGTCCAACTCACCTCGTTAATATTCAGCTTCCCATCTTACACATCAAACAAGTTAGGTGTTGCAAAAGCTCGACATGAAGTCAGAGTGGGTGCCTGGTGACTTCAGCTCTCTGCTTGCTCCAAAGGACCTCCACGTTTACTTAGGAATAAGCCGCATCTCAGGGCACGATCCACGGGCACCAGTCACATGCACCCCTCATTACAGACACTGGCATCTAATACCTCCTAGCGCTTCGTGACCATCATGGCAACTCCCTGATCCATTCTGTGCTGGGCAGGAGTGTACATAATTGTATTGCAGGGCACACCAGCAAATAACATCGAAAGATAGCAGTGCGGACACTTTGTGTGAACAGACAGGTACCTAGCTCATGGGTCAGACAGGCTGCACCTCAGGGCTGCTTACCTTGCTCTATTAAAGCTAACTCACATAAGTCCTCCCTGCATGCTTGCACTGTCCATGCCTCACCTGCCATTCCATGTCTGTTCGGACTTCAGCCAAAGCCAAAGGCTACCAATACTGCTGTATTGACTGGCTCTTTGGCATGGACAAACTTAAGGTTTGTTAAGATCTTCAGCAGGGAACTGCCTAACTATCTTTTTCTGGGGGAGAGCAGGGGGTTCCCCGATGAGAGTTACAGTCCGGTCGGACACGTCTAGAGGTTGCTTATTGAAGTCAGTCAGAGGTCTGCGACAAATACAGCCCTGAGGGTTGCATCCACTGATCATTAACGGGAGTGTGAGAAGGGGCCTTTGGGGGTTCACTGCCAAAAGGTGTGGTGGCTGGCACATGTGGTGAGGGGTGGAGGGCTCTGTGGCATTTGTGGAGGTGGGTGCAGATAAGCCTTCCATGTAGTACTGAGAAAGTTTTCCTGCACCCATACCCCCATATGGAGACCCATCACATTGAACTTTACCTCCAACTGTCCTCCATGACCCCGAACCTCAATGTTACACCCAAAGGGTGCTCACTCTATCCCTTTACATTCCCCTTGTGGAGACTATGGAGGTGGTCACTACCAATAACAGCCCTTCCCACAGCCTCCCGTGCCCTCCAATGCTGTTTTGATACGCCCATTCAGCTTGAATTTCCCTCCCATTACCCCATCCTTGTTCCCACATGAAGGCACTAAGACACAACTCCAATTACAACATTAGACTATCTGCATTTATAATAAGATACCAGATAAATGGGCAAGGCAATATTTCTAACAAATACATAAAGCAGGAGTTTGCAAACCCCAACTACATTTCATCTGCAATCATTCCTTCACAAATACGCAATGCATGCAGATATGTTGGCCAAAGGTGGCTCGCTATTGGTGCACGGTAAATTAACAATGTCACCTCAGTTATGCAGGAATTAGCAATAACTCAAAAGGAGACAAATACTGGCTAAAAGCACTCCATCATTTATGCAGCTTCCAAAGCTGCAGTGGGACAAAGGAAACATTACAACACCACGTCATGTAAGTATGATGGACTTTAACAAATGTGACGGAAATTGGAATGGTTGAGTGGGTCTGGGATTGAAAGAGAGTCGGAGCACAGTTAGCATTCCCTTTTGGATGTTGGTCACTCAGCCTGTGTGGTACCTTCATCATGCTGTGACTAGGGCAGTAGTGAGGCAATCGGTAAGCAGTGAAGGTCTAGTACAGTCCGAACACCCAGTGGACCACACAGTCTATTTGTGCTGTGCTCTGTATAATTGGAGGCAATGAGGCAATCTAATTAATGCTGAAGAACTAGGGGAATGGGAACCGTCTTCCAAGGAGAAGGCTAAGGACAATGAGAAGAGGAAGCTCTCTTTGTAGATGATGGAGCTTGACTGCATTGGGTTCGATATGACGGACAGGGCCTGACTGATACCTGCTTCCATTAGCTGTTAGCTGGGTGCAGAAAACCAGCATGGGCTGTCAAGCTCAAGATGCCAGTATTCAGTATGCAGTGTGAACTACAGCCTGCATTTGTTTCCCTTGTGCTCCCTTTTCCTGTTATCAACAAACGTTCATATTTGGAATTGACTGAATGCTCGCCTGTATGTGATGTTCCCTGACTGGACAATGATGATGTGGATGACCACTTGGAAGTGGGGAAAGAGTATCAAGGATTCAGAGAGGGCCTCTAGAAGAGATGTATGCAAGAATAGGTAAACCGTGTGGCTTGGGGTTAACTAGGTGTGACCAGGGTGAAAGAATATATATAGGGGTATATATAAAAGGGAATGATGAGAGCAGGATGGTTTTAAGGCTGCTGTTCCATTATGTTGGCAGTCATGTGTAACACAAGACTGTTAATACTTCTCCAGGTAAAGAGTAGCCTCTCAAAGGTGGTGCAGACACAAGGGATGCCGGTCTTTCAGTGGATATCCACTGTGCGGTGAGTTATTCTGATAAGAAAGGGCTAGAGTTGGACATGAGGGACACCACTGGGGTGGAGCAGGTAGTTAATGAGGCATGTTTTATAAGAGATGGTGAGGAACATTGCTGGGCTTCGTGGCAAGGATCTCTCCAAAAAAGAAATTCACACAACACACACTTTACCAAAAAAAAAAGCAAGATTCAGCCCAATAAGTTTACTTTTCTCTCCACAGGTGCTGCCTTTAAATTAGTTTTATGATTTTTGTTTGCTTTAAAACCCAGGACATCCCATAAAACCTAAAGCTTTGGCCACGTTGTTGGTCATTTGCCCAAATCAATTCTCACGTGGGCCAAATTCTGGTTGAAACAACTATGAAATGCCTTGGGATGATTTACTAAGTGAAGGCACTGTATATATATAAGTTGGTGTTGTGCAATTTGTTTCGATATATTTGCCTGATTTGATTTGATTGTGTTACACATTAAAAATCCACAGGGTTGTGATCAGATCTGGGCACTAGTTCTGATTCTTGCCAAAGATTAGTAATGAAACAGGCAGTGTCCATTCATAATATTAGAATACCTTGATATTCTGGTTTGTTCTAATTAAGTTCAAGTATCTGTTCACATTTGTATTTCCTCATAAAGGCAACATCTTGGTCAGTCTGTGCTGTATCTTTCTAAAGGAGTTTTTTCCCGTAAACCTACCACTCTGATTAAATAGGTCCAGCAACGTCTGTAGAGAGAAGCAGAGTTAACATTTCAAGTCAAGTAACTCTTAACTCAGTTTCTCTCTCTACAGAAACTGCCAAACCAGAATTTCTGCAGCACTGTGAGTTTGTGTTTTAGATTTCCAACATCCTTAGTTTGTTTTCACTTTGATTAAGCTTTCGATCACTTATCCTCATAGCTTTTGGTGTGATTTGGTGTCAACTTTTGTTTGATAATGTTCTCATGAAATGTCTTGGTATATTTTACGATGTTAAGGACGTTACATAAATACAATTTATTATTGCATGGGGGCCACTGCTATAGCCAGTGCTTGAAAACAGGTTGCATTATGGGAAGTGCATCTGATTAAAAGAATAACAACTGGAATCCAGACCTGTAGATCTAGTATGCCACAATCTCTGCTTGTAATCCTGATAATTTTTTCTGTTCTCTCATGGGATGTGGGCATCGCTGGCTGGCCAGTATTTACTGCCTGTCCCTAGTTGCCCTTGAAAAGGTGGTGATGAGCTGATTTCTTAAACCGCTGCAGTCAATGCATTGTAGGTTGACCCACAATGCTGTCAGGGAGAGAATTCCAGGATTTTGACCCAGTGACAGTGAAGGAACAGCAATATATTCATAAAATAATGAGAACAGAATGAAAGCAAATTAAATGTAGACCTACAGAAGCTCAGTTAAGTCTGGCAAGGTATGATTAGTTCAACGGTCTCTTACTGTGCTGTTTCATTCTATGGAATCATCCAATTCTCGGAACAGACTCTTAAAAACTATGGACATAGGAATTAGGAGCAGAAGCAAGCCAATCAGCCCCTTGAGCCTGCTCTGTCATTTAATAAGATCATGGTCGATCAATATGTTTCAAATTCCACATTCTCATCTACTTCTGATAGCCTTTGATTCCCTAACAAGAATCTCTGTCGCCCTACCTTAATGCAATATTTTGTTTACATTCTTTGGTTTACTGATTACCAATTAATACAGAAATACTGTTCTCACTAAAGAATTAACCACAGACATAAAAGTGAGGATAGGGAGAGAACATCTGCTTTTGTTGCTAAACAATAACTCCTACTAAAAACTGTGCATGTGAGAACACTGCTCAGTTGTGATGCTTCCAATGAGAATATTTAGTGGGCAATGTAATTATTGAATTGGCTCCTTCAATTTCACTGCCTCTTTGTACGGAGCCTTCAGCAAATCTGATCACTTTGAATTAAGTTTCCAAGTCATTTATTTGAATAAGAAACACCAGTAGTCCCCAAATCGAATACTAGGGAACCTACCCAAAGCAAACAGGTCGCTTTAATTCCCTCACCTGCAGTGCTCACCAGTACTCAGGACAGTACACATAACATTAACACCGATTATGAGTAAACATTACTGTAAAGTTAAGGATTAGAGAAGTTAGTCACGGCTGCTGGCAGCTCACCATGTGCAAGTTCTATCGCTCCTTTTGACACTTCTTTGAAAGATGCGATATCTTTCTCCCAGCCACTGGATTGAGTTTCACAACGATGGGCTTTAACTAGATACTGCAGTGCCTGTAAATAAAAGCAATGGTATTATTCTACATTTAAAGGAGCACAGTGTCAAGACCACGTCTTTTTGTTTTTCTATACTTTTGATTGTGGACTGAGATGACAAAACAGCTGTTTTAAAAACCAAGTATTGTTGGTTGCACATTTTAAAAGCAAAAAGCCTGACACTCATTGTAAGTACTGCTTACACAGCTGCTTGTTCAAGCAGTAGTGGAAGCCTAAGTAAAGATAAGTTGGAGCCGGGGGTCTGTACGCAAACTGAGCTTCACCCAGCAACAAGTAGCTGCTTTATCTGTGAACTCATGAATAGTTATTGATGACAAAGACTTTTGCATGCCATAACTATGTAACTGCATTCTAAATAGATAAACAACTTGCGGTTATGAATGTTTTGGCAGAAATCAGTGGACCTCTGGAGAAAGAGCTGTTTCTGCACCATTTCAGAAAACTGTGATGGCTGGGATCACTAAACTGTCTTTCCAGTCTTTTCATCTGCCAAATAACACCAATTTTTTTTTTATCCTCTCTGCGTGTGTCCTAATGCAGGTGTAGAGGGGGAATTTATAAGGAGTTTAAAAGTTTAACTAGTGGAGCTATATGTCAACAATTCATAATTATTTGTCTGAAGCTAGGATCGATTTATAATAAATAGTCATTCTTTTTGTGTACAAAAATCTGGCCCATACTTTCTGTCAACCTGAGTCTAAAAGGCAGGTAAATTAGGGAACTCTGCATACTTTTGGAAATCTTTTAACTTTGGTGATGACTGGGGAATAACTTTTAACGCACTACCCCAGCGATGAGAAATTACAGCTATTTATTTTCCCCCATTCCCTCCTCATCACCTCCACCATATTCTCCTTTAGCCAAGTGGACAATGCAGAGTTTCTATTAACAGCACAACTCCCTCAGTCAGGATATTTGGAGTTTGCGTGCCATTCAAGGTTACAGTAAACAAATTCAGCCACACTATTAAACTTAGGTTTTCTAGCAATGCATCAGTAAACACTAGTCAGCTTATAATACATGTGGGATATATATATATATATATATATAGTTCATAAATATAGAAATAAAATGCCTTTAACAATAGCTCAGAGATGCTATATATGGGCATTATAAAACAAATTATGACAGTGAGTCATGAAGGGAGATATTAGGGCAGATGCCTATAAGCTTGGTATAAGGCGTAGCTTTTAAGGAGTGCCTTAAAGGAGTGAACAGGGTTGAGAGATGGAAAGATTAAGGGAGGGAGTCTATACCTTAGGGACCTGAAGGCACACCCAACCAAGGGTGAGTACTAAAATTAAGGATGTTCACAAGGCCAGAATTGGAGGAGAACAGGTATTTTTTGGAGTTTGGAGATAAGGGCCAGCAAAACCAAGATGGGATCTAAAAAAAATGAGAATTTTAAAATCAAGAGGTTGTTTTATGGGAACAAGTGTAGGTCAGCCAGCAGGGAGGTGAAGCATGAACAGAATTTAGTGCATGATAGGACACTGGCAGCAGAGTGTAGGATGAACTCAAGTTTACACAGGGTGGAATCTGAAGGTTGAGCACGAATGCATGGGAAATGTCAAGCTTAGAGGTTAAGCATTCAGCAATAGATGAGGTTAAGCAGGGACAGAGTCTGGCAATGTTATGGAGGTGGAAATAGGTGGGTTCAGTGGTGCCATAGATGCATGCTGGAAGCTCATCTCAGGATCAAACGTGACACCAAAATTGCCAACAGTCTGGTTCAGCTTCAGACACTTGCCTGGAAGAGAAATGAGTTAAAAAATGCCAAGTCCATGTATCATATAAGTGCATTTTAAATATCTAATTTGTAAGAAAAATTAACAAAGCAATAAGATTTTTAAAAATGTGTTTGTTATATTTCTATATGCACTTGCAGGTGAAGAAAAGGTCTAAACAAACATGCAGGCAATCTCAAAATTACTGGTTACATTTGATAATGCTATTCAAGTGCAACTAGTACATTACTGAAACCAACAGCATTTTCTAAATGAGGAAGGGTACACTTTTTCTATTAATCCGCTGCTGCCTTTACTATACACCTGGAGTGCTTAAGTGACCACTGCTATATCAGCGTCTGTAGCAAGAATGGACTTTAATTGATGTGGTCATCAATAAACAGGTATCTTGCAAATAGTGAGTACTTGTGTCTGGAAAGTAGGCACATTAGGAATTAATGTCTACAACCAACAGGGAATAAAATTCAGTCTGTGTGTTCAGAGGATTATAAAGTATTTGCCCTCAAACTTTATGATCTGAACCCTATTAACTGGGTTATCCCCATGTAATCCAGTACTCTTTTTGAACCTGTTGAACTAATTTTGCTGCATTTTACAACCCAGTGAAAAATACTCCCCTTTTAAAAGGTATCTAACACTCACAAATTTACTGCTTAACTTTATAATTTGCACCTTTTCCTCAACTATGCTGTTTTCAAGATGTCTTTCTCAGGTAATACACCAAGGGAAGCCTAGTACCTGCAGACAGGAAACTCCATGACACAGACAATCCTGAGCTGGAGAGCTCCATAGGATTAGGTACTAACAGAGAAAGTCTGCCCATACATGCATCAAATGTCTTAAGGCACACACTGCAAAATGAACCATATAGCTTAGTCCAAACAAACAGTCCAGAGGCAAATGTGCACACAATCCTGCCCTCCCCCTCCAAAAGTGCCTGAAAGTTCTCAGATTTAAAAAAGTCAGAAAGTATTAGCAATATAAATCCTGAACATACTTTAAAAAAACTCAGCACAGCGCTTCTTGTTTGCTGAAAGGAGTGCTTTTTGGTCAATTATTTGAATCAACTTTTCATGCTTATGAGAAGCATACAAGTGTAAGTCAAAGACTTCCAAAATTGTTTAGGGCCATGGCAGTAAAATGACTGAACTCTCCAGGTATTGCAAACATAGGAGCGTCAGAGCCAAGACCTCAGGGAGTCTGCGGCAAAAAACGGTAGAGTTACGTGGCAGGAGATTTCTGATCCTTCGGTATGAAAATCCCAATTTATAAAGTTAATGCCTTTTGGACGAGAGATTTGAATACCAGCCATCAACTGCACTTCCTTTAAAACAAGTGCAGGAGGATAAGATTCAACATTGAAAATCGATTACATTTCTTAAAACATCCGTGTATGAATTCAATGATCAGGGTGTTGATAAGAAGCTCCCCCTTTCTCTGAACCTCATGGCTAGAGTTTCAGGCTCTCAAATGAGAAAGGCACAGCCACGTCAGGACTTGTACACTGGCTGACACTTCAGTGCTATACTGAGACAGTGCTGTTTTATTAGCAGTACTGTCTTTCAGATTCAACATTAAATCAGGGCTCACACTTGCTTGTCTCAGGTCAATGTAGGGAACTCCCAAGTTAACATTTGTTCCACAAACAGAAACAGGAAAAGGAGATAACTATGGCAAAGTGAGTTTCAGCCAGAAGTTAGCAGGTTCTGGATAAATAACAATTCATTTCATCTTGAGATCTTTGGCATTTGCAGTGGAATGGTAGGACATGGCCCCATAATGCAATTCTCGGCAAGGCTCCAAACCTTGACATGATGCTTGAATGTCTGAATGTATAGTAGATCATGCCCTAAAGGGTGGGACAACAGCAGCATCTATAGACTTGGGAGCTGACAATTTATTAAAATAAAACATTTCAAAACAAAAGATGATTAGATATATCTACTTGATGCTTACTTAAGAATAAACTGAGTTAATAGGTGCATAACAGGGTTACTGGGATAGGGTATGGGGTGGATCTGGTTGGGATGCTCTTTGGAGGGTCAATGCGGACCGAATGGCCTGCTCTCACACTATAGTGATTCTATGATCTATGAATGCTTTGCATTTCCTGAAGCACAGCACTTTGATTCACAAAGACCGTAAAATCTCATTTACAGCTTTGGTCTTAATTTCAATTCTCCTATGACCCATTGGCTTGGATCCTGCAGACCCAATATCAGGGAAGCAGTTGCAGTTTGCCTAATAGACTCCAGGGGATTCCATGCTGACAGCCCTACCAGCAGGTAAACTTGGGCTCACTGCAAATATTGGGATTAATCTGGGGCAATGATTTGCATAGGGCCTGCAAAGGAATGCAAACCTTTAAATTAACAGACAGTTTAAAATATTCTTGGCACTGATAGCCACAGCAGCTCCCAAGTCCCGCGCGTGTGTGCGTGTGAGTGTGTGAGTGTGAGAATGTGAGACAGAGAGAAAGAGCGAGAGAATGCATGTGCACGTTTGTGCATGCATGCATTTGTGGTAGATGAGTGGTACCTCAAGTGGAACTCCGACTGAAAGTTTTATAAGCTTCATTAATTTTCTTCCAAGTGAAGACATACCTCAAGATTGTGACATTAAAGGACAAATGGCCTCGATGGAATTGTATCTTGCCATTCAGCCTCCCTACTCACTTCACCAATGGATCCAGACTGGAGTTGGGACAGCAGTCAATTAGAAAGGTAGGCACATTAGTTTTTAATTAAGTTAGTAGCATGCACTTCTGCTTCACCGCTCACCCACACAATCTGGGCCATGGTTTTTAAGAAAAAAACATTTTAAAGTTACGTAGCATACATGTTTAAAGAGTTTTCCATTGAAAAAGGAGGACCAACCCAAAGGAATGCTGAGCATCCGTGCACATGTACACCCTCATCTCTAACTAAACACAGAGGAGATTGCAAGCTATAAAGCTGTGAGTAATTTAGAATTCCAAATCGCAAGCAGTGCAGATCATTCGTAAAGGCATCAATTAGATTCTTGAGACATTTCAACCTCAGTCCAGGGAAAACATGGGGCATGGGGGCTGGAGCTGTCGCCTGGCATTATTTTTTTTTTGCACTTTATTGTGGCTGGTTTAAGCATGGCACTGTGATAGGCCAACCAATTCAGTGTTAGTCTCGCCCTCACTTTTCTGCAGAATGGCACAGACAGAAATGCTGAACGTGGGCAATGACAGCTTAAAGAGACAAGCCAAATGGAAGTTCCACAATATGCACAATGCTATAGGGTACTGACCTTCTCGTTGTCTTCTGAATTCTCTGTTTGTCCATTTCCATAAAGCCTGGCGTACAACTTCCAAATCTCAGCATCGTTGGTTACTTTAGAAGTCACCCTACCAAACAGCTCCCGTAGTCTTCCTGTTAATACTGTTGCAGAATCCCCTTTGTAATCAGCAAGCCCTTCATTCACAGCTCGCACCAGGATTTTCAGAACCTGAAATGAACATGACAAGAAACTTTAATTTATGCATAAAGAATACTTTTGGTAAAGATTTCAAAGAACGCAATGATGGAAACATGGCATTTGGACTCAGAATCATTAAACCAACAGTAGGCAAAACAAAATCATGTCAAGAGCCCTACATACAAGACTTTATTTTATTGCTTTATCATACAAAATTTCATCATCTTTTGAAGGCTTTGGTTTCTCATGGGTTGCACACCCACCAGTTACGCTCTAATACCTCATCAGGGTGAACATTTTACATATGTACAAGTCTGGCTGGGTGAGTCCCAGCAGCTGGTTTAACCTCCGACAGCTCTCGAACCATAACTAATGTCCTCTCTCGCACGTGTCCAGGCAGGAACACAAGGGGAAGCAATCGGCAACACATACCATGAACAATTTTGTTTCCTTAATCCAGAAAGTTGGGATCAACAGCTGCATCCCTGCCACTACTCTGATGGAGATCACCCAATCCTGGTCTCCCGCTGGTGCACGATTTTAATAATTCCAAAACTGGCAATTGTGCCTTTGATTGATTGGGCCAGAGACACTGGAATTGAATCACTAAATCTCTCTGCCTGAGTTTTCCTCAGAACCAACCTTTATCAAAAAGTGTTTTATCAGCTGTTCTAATACCTTATGACTCATTATTACAGCTTATCTGGTAACGTGCCTATGAACTACCTTGTGATGTTTTATTATGTTATGTTATAAATAAATGGAAGGTGCTACAGTTACTTACCATATAGTGGGAATTCAGCCTTCCTAATCAACTTACCACAATGATCCACAGGATGAAGATGCAGTATTAATACTTTCCTCAGAGTTTAAACAGACCAGCATCAACCATAATATTGTTATGAGGACAGGGTTAAAGTTAACTGCTACATGAATGACTCAGCTCATGACCTCTGAAAGCCTCTCCGTAAGATTCAGGTGCAATTGGATACCTTGGCTACTTGCCCGGATATGCTAGCTAGAACATCACTCAACATCAACCAGTGCTTGACTGACACGTTGCTATGCCACTCAATATCAGTGGCACTGCATTCATAGTGGGACTACATGTAACTAACCTCACTTACTTAAAAATCCTGACTATCCTAACCTGGAATATACGCTGTTCCTTCAGGTCTGCTGGAGTCCTGGAATTCTCTTCCTAATGGCATTGTTGGTCTGCCTACAGCACATGGACATCTGTGGTTCAAGAAGGCAGCTCTCCACCACCTTCTCAAGGACAACTAAGGTTGGTCAATAAATGCTGGCCAGCCAGCAGGTTCCGTGTCCCATGGGTGAATAAAGAAAAACGTTTTTAAAAATCCCCTTTCCTGTGTCTTTTGTTGTTGTGATGTGATGGGAATATCATCACGTGAACATTCTCCTCCAAGTGATAAACTGTGCTGAGTTGGAAAGAAAGCACTGTTCCTTCAGTGTTACTGAAGGGTCAGTTTATACTGCAAGAGCATCATTACCACAAGGACTGCAACAGTTCGACAGGATCAGCTTCGCAACTTCCTTTTATACGGATTTACCAGGATTAAACCATTTATAAACTACTGGTCTCACTGCATTTAAAAGAGTAAAAGGTGATGAAAGCTTTTCGGAGCTTTTGACAGATTGAACATGCCATACTACTTTTGAGAGATTATAACCTTCTGAGGGAAGCTAGGGGCTGGAAATAAATAGTTGTCCATATCCAGAGAACAAAATCAAACTTAGATTCATTTTATAACTTTTATTGAAAATACAAGCTGCCAAGCAAAAACACCGTGCAAACAGCTTGCAGTCCTGCTTCTGATCTGTTGGAAGGTGCAATGCTTGCAGACAGGATGGAAGTGGACTGGGATGCACCTTACACCTTTAACAGCTTGTTCAATGTTCCATCTCACAAATGAGAAACAGCCATTTCAGTGGCATACCACTGCTTGCAGAATTCAATCCAAGCATGACTTGCCCCCTTAAAGAGAGGGCTGAAATAGGAACCAAACGAAAGCAAGGGAAATCTGTTAGGCTGGAACTGGTTATACCTAAGTGTACAGCAGAGCAGAGAAAAATGTTACTTCTGCACGCAAATGATTTAATAAATTCTCGCGTTCAAACTCGATCTATGATTTTATCCAAACTAATAAAAATGAGTCTTGCATGTGGTTTTTACTGTCCCCCAATGAGCAATATAGAGACATTTTTGGAAAAATACGAACCAACATTGAAGAAACCACATGTAAAAGGCCACTAATTAATTTTTACTGGTTATCCAGACATATTAATCCTATAATGAGTAACATTTACTTTAAAGCTCGGAGCAGCTGGGGCAGCAAGGATCCCTGACTGTACACATGTACAAAGTTTAGTCAATGTCTTTACTACACGTGAAACAGTCGCTGCTCAATTTGGAATCATAAACAATTACAAATGATAAAATATCTCCGTGTTAAACTTCAAAAATGCTCATAAATTGGTTATTTATTAAATGCACTGTATGGTGTGATCTACGTCACACCATTCATTCTTGTATCATCAAACATCTGAAGTCATAAATACTGCAGACGACAATGTACAATTCAACATCTAAAGTCTTGAAGAACCTAGTGAGTCAACTTAGATGCCAAGTATACAATGTGAAGTACTGGTGTGGATGGTCACCATTTTGAAATATGACAGAAGCGCACAACATCACTAATTCATATTAAATTAATGTGGCATGGTTTGCTGAATGAATTAATTATAAAAGATACCTTCGACTACAAACAAAAAGCTTTAAAATGGCAAATTCATCATGCTCAGCATCTGAGCTAAGAGTTCACTGGATTCTTTGAGTCACCAAATTTGGTGTTTTCAGTTTCAGATAGCATGGGTCCACATTAAGTCAGCTTTTTATTCCACCTTCTTTGAATCATCTGACAACATTTTGAGCACTAATAGCAGCTCATGATTTGATAATGAAACCACACAGAACAAGTGGGGGCAGGTACACATATATTCACTTTGTATGAAGGCTTTTTTGCCCAAATGTCCACTTGTTCCATTCAGCTCAAACATGATCCTTGAATGGCTTGATGAGGTACATCTCCAAAGGTCTAATACTAAATGCTAGATCCCTCCCTAAACAGCTACAATATGGGTATCATTTCTTCAGAGGCACCTCCTGATCTCATCAGTTAAATTGAATCCGAATATGCCCCAGATTAATAAGCTGCATTCTTTACATATGCCACATATAAATGATCAATAACTTCATTGCATCCTTATCCATCTGATTACAAACATGGGCTTACACCAAAACCTTGCAGGGAATTTGTTGCTCAACATGGTTTTAATGCTGAAAATAAGCTTTACCTTTGTTCCATCAGACATGTAGGTTAGTACCACCATGAATCTTGCGCTTTGTCATTTTCACTAGAACTGTTTTTGACCCTTTCCATTCTGTAGCTTGGCTGCCAGATGCAATGAAATTCTTGGTCTTATCATGTATGTTGCTGACATGACTTAATGGATACTTGTTATTCCACTGCTGACTGCTGGTGAAATGATGGAAAACTGAAATTTGACGCAGCGGGCTTTTGGCAAACTTCTGTCGCAACACTAGATGGTCTCGTTCTATAAGGTAGCTACATCAACTCGTCCTTGGTCTGATATTTTTAACTGAACTCAAGGTTGAGTTGGGTCCGCTTACATGTGTATATACGCAATGCATTTGCTGTGATGACACAGTCACTTTGATGAATTTTGAGGACCCATTCCAATATGTACATGGCTTAGTGGTTAGCACTGCTGCCTCACAGTGTCAGGGACCTGGGTTTGATTCGAGCCTACGGTGACTGTCCGTGTGGTGTTTGCACTTTCTCGCCATGTCTGCGTGGGTTTTCACCTGGTGCTCTGGTTTCTTCCCACAGTCCAAAGATGTGCACGTTAGCTGGACTGGTGATGCTAAAGTACCCCATAGTGTCCAGGGATGTGCAGGCTAGGTGGATTAACCATGGTAAATGTGGGGTTGAGGACAGGGTAGGGGCTGGGTATGGATGGGATGCTCTTTGGAGGGTCGGAGCACACTCATTATATCAGAGTTTTGCAGCACAAATAGATCCTTTGGTCCAACTCGTCGGTGCTGACCAGGTATCCTAAACTCGATGGGCCAAACAGCCTCTTTCCCCACTGTTGGGATTTTATAATTCGAAGATCAGGCCACTGTTTAGTTTCTGTCCCGATGGTGCATTTGGTCTTCTTCAGGGTAGATTATCCTTCTTCCATTCCTACATCAGTTTTCACTAACATAAATGCCCTTTCCCTCATTTCAGCAGAATTATTTGATGAGCTAGCAAATGTTTTGAATTTTACTTTGAAAACAACTTTGTACTTCATTTTCTTTTGCCAATGTCTTCGTTTAAGCATGTCTTAAATTCCCTCGTATCATCTTCTGAACGCAGGCTCAATTACCTGCTTGGTCCCATTTGCTGACTTACAGGAGGAGGGAAGTAAAACATGAGTTTTTAGGGTGAAAAGTTGATGCAACTACTTAGGCAAATATTGCATCTTTTCATAGCTGAAACTGCAAACTTATATAGATTGTATACAGAAGCATAATTTCTGGCATTGAAAAACTGGGGTAATCTTATATATCATGTCAACTTGTGCTACAATCTGTGGCAGAGGGATTATTAAGGTCTATCTCATAAGGGGAGTAAATGAGATACATAAATAGTCACTATTCATAAATAAATGTAAAATTATTAGCAACAAAGAAAATTATTTAAAAGTGCTCTGGTTTATTAAGGCCTTGAACCATTGTCCAAAGTCTTCCAAATGGCTGTCCTTGAACGGAGACTACAAGTTGATGAATAACCAATCTAGTATCATCTTCAGCTGTGTCCAGCCATCACGGCATTTCTGTTTTGAGACATCCAATGGTTGTGAGAAGTGCAATGTAAATGTAAATCCTTTTTTCTCCTTAATCCTGGCTCTCTACCTTTCACGAGTGTTTCTTTTTAAATTATTT